TGCTTCCTGTTCCTAAAGGCCTTTCTGCTTCTCAGTGTGGCAGGTACAGGAAATGAGGGGCTGCATGAGAGACCAGAGCTCTGTCACGCTACTTTGCGGTTTTACTTTATTGGAGTACAGATTTTTATGACCTTGCCTTAGCCTGTATTGTTAGACTTCGAGCTTCTTGAGGACAGGAGACAGAGAAATAGTCATCTTTATACTTGTATTATCTATAACATATAACAACAACATCAACAACAGTAAAATCAGTAAACCAGTGCCACTCAATTTTTCCCTGTTATGGCATACTTAGAAAATTATATTTGTACCCCAGGGGATCCTGGCTCTCCAGCACTTCTCCTAGTCCATGTGACTGTTTTGTATGAATTATAAAGTACTCCTTTCTCAAGTTACTCTACTGCCATCTGTTGGAAAATTATTGTAATAAAATGCAGATCTGTAGTGACTATGATATGAATGGTGCCTCTCTCCGGAGTTGTTCAGTGCACAGCCTGCTCGGCTGTACATGGTATCCTGAGACCACCCTAGGAGCCCACCCGGCCACCCTGTGAGCTGAGGTAATCAATATTTGAACAAACCTCAACCCATGAGTGGTGCACCAGTGTGTCCTAGGAAAACAGATACTGTGCTAGGAACTGAAGCCTTAACAGTAACTCTATGAAGTAGGAATTCTTAGAATCCTGTTTTCTAGATGAGTAAGCTGAGGCATACAGAGATTAAATAACTTGCTTATGGCCATGTGTCTATCAGGTGACAGAGCTGGGATTTGAATCCAGGTATTGAGACTGTACAGCCTAGATTCTTAACTATAGCAGTATACCCCTCCAGCAAACCTCTTTTAAACTGCATCAGATGCAGCAGTTTCTGAGTCCTGTTGCTGTTTCCCTCTTAGTCCACTGTAAAGTAATTTAGACCTCAGCCTGTGGTTTCTTTGGATGAGTCCATAGCTCTAGTGTTTTTTAGGTGTGGCAAAGGAAAAGGGATTTATGCTTTCTCTGTCAGCACTTATTTGTGTTAAGGTGTTGCTTTGCCTCACACGGAGTTGTCACCTCTCTTCCCCTGGGTGATGGAGCCGCAAAAGGATTACTCAAAGCCCATTTCTTCCGAGCAGTGAGAGACCCCAAAGGGGTTAATTTCCTGGAACCCTCAAGAGAGAGGCATTCCTTCCTTTTGGGAAATTAACCACGAATTGGGGTTCTTGCCCCACATTTATTCTCCAGACAAGGAAGTTACAGGAAGAGAACATAGGTGGGGTTATGACCAATTATAGTTTAACAATAAAGGCTGGTAACAAGCAATGTGACATTCCATAATGCAGTTTGCAAAAGGTTAAGTTGATCCACCAACAAAAGCTTGATCTTAGCAGACATTCTCTTTCCCTACACAATATCCCAGTATCTTTACATATCAATCAGTAACTTGTCTGTCCTTGAGCCAGCAACCTTGCTGTGCTACAATTCTTTATCTCACAACAGAGACTTTCGGCTGGGGAAAATTTCCTATCTTTTGCAAGGTTAACATTTCTATATGTACTTTTAAGAAGTTAGGCTAAACCTGAAACTGCAGGGCTTTGGAGGCTAGGCCCTGTGAAATACATTTGCTTTATAAATATTGGTATATTCCACATTAAGGTAAGTGCTGTTCCTTCTCTCTATATTGGAATAACTTCTGGTCTTCTTCCCAACCTGTGGCTTTACTTCTTTCCAGCAGTCCCCATTCTTGCATCACAGAATGACCAACCAAACTGCTACCAGCCAACCCAAACTGCTCCTAACCATGTGGGTGTTGATCTGTTCTCTCTTCTAGCTTCCCTACCTTTGCTAAAGCCACTAGGGCTGTTCAGGACTATTGCTCCTTCCTTCTGTGTTTGTTCTTTTCTTTAATCCCACCTCTTTTTGAACCCTTAATTGCTGTTGTCTCCAACATCTCTCATTCTCTCTCCAAATTATCTTACTATCTGATTTAGAAGGAAAGTGCCTCAGGGCAGGGATTGCCTTGTTATGTTGTGAAGCAGTATCTGAAGTGCCCCATAAATTAGCATCTGTAGAGAGTTTTGTACATACTAATTATTATTACTGAAATACAGAAATGCTTTCTGAACCATGAGGAAGCATCTTAGGATATTAGGGTAATTGCCTGTACATGTTTTATAAAAAGGAAGAAAAAAAGCCTCTCTTCCTGCCTGAGAGAGCTATCAGAGCCTCAGAACAGCAGCCAAAATTCTCGGACTTGCTCCGGACTCTTGTTTCAATGCTTTTGTTTTTTTGTCTTTTTTTTTTTTTTCCGTGTCCGGCAACGGATCGCAACCCTCAGTGTCGCCCCCGTACCGGACTGGGACCGGCAACGGGATCGCAGCCCTCGGCGTTGCTCCCGCACCTCGCTCAGCCAGTGAGCGGGAACCGGTCTGCATGTGGGATCCGAACCCTCGACGGGAGCGCCGCTGCGCTTCCTAAGCAGCGCACTTAAGCAGTGCGCCACCGGGCCGGCCCTCAATGCTTTTATATTTATTCAAAGAATCATGTTTGCAAGATAGTAAAATAAAGTTCTGTGAGTCATGTGGACTCATTTGGACTATTTATGCTGGTCAGGAAGGTAGAAGTGGCCCCAGAGCACCTGCCTTTGATTTGCTTTGGCCCAGAATCTTGTTATTTCCTTAGTGACATTTATGGTTAAAGTCAATGGGATTCATTTGGTCAGTGGAGGGGAGGGCAAAGAGTTTAAAGTAAATTTCCTTTATATTGTGTTTATGTTTACTACCATAATGAATCAACATTTTATTAGCATTTTATGATGCAGATGGAGCTTTTAAGACTGTTGAATTTTAATGTAGATATGTATGTCAGAAAGACTTATTTTACAGGACTTCCAATTTTTTTCAGTGCTTTGAGAATATACCTCGAAGAGTGGTTAGTGAGACAGTTTCTGTCTGTCTGTCAAAGTAACATGCTTTAAAAATCTTTACATAAGAATTTGTTGGCCTGGTTTTCCTGAATGTGAGCTTTTGTAAGATATTTTGATAATTTAATGAAGGTTTCTTTATGAAATGCTAGTCAGAATAAACTGAAATGACCTTAAAATTATCAATTGGAGTTACCTGTAAATTTTAAATAGAAAAATAGTGGTGCTTTTTTAAAGAAAAGAAGCTTGTTTATCATGCATGTGAGTGTCCATGTCTGAGGAGACAGTATAATGGAAGGGCCTTATTGTATTGTCCAACTGTGTCTGGTCGTAATTAACACACTCCATACAGTCAAGATCGAATCACAGATCATGCAATTGCTTTTTATCTTCACCTGTATGTTTTACCTTCTGCAGTATACCCCCCGCCCAAGACGCAGTCTCTTTAAGGCAAATTGCTCTCACTTATCTCCAGGCTTTTGATGATAACTTTTGAGCAAGTTGAATCAGAAAACAGGCCCAGCTTATTTTTAGGTGATTAACTCACTTCAGGGACTAGATTGTTTTCTTTTCCAGGTTACACAGTAGTATCCTCCTGCTTTGGAAGCCGTTGGAGACTTTATGCCTTTAAAGGCAAGGCCCAGATGTACCACCAATATGCTGGGCAGAGTTATAGGATTCAGGTTGCAAAAGACCTGAGGAATCACCTATTCTAGTAGTTTTCAGCTCTGGCTGCACATTTGAGTATCTTGGGGAGCTTTTCTAAAAAGCACCAATGCTGGGGCTATACCTCGTCTGTTTACTGTTGGGGAAACTGAGGTCCCAAGAGAGCAAATGACTTGTACGTGACCATATACACTTAGGTGCTATGAAAAATTATAATATTAGGAGGGAGTACATATTATTCTCAGATCCCAGTTGAAGTGCTCTTTTATTTTGGAGTAAGCAGTTCTTAAATTAGATCGCAAGCAGTGCAAAAAACAAGGTGGGACCACCTGACACTATCATGGGCTTTGAAGTATCTGCACTGTTGTAAAACTAAATGTGACAGAGCCACCTTTATGCCTTCCCCATGTTATTCATATTAAGGAGAGACTTTGTCAGTTGTGACAAAACCATAGTGTCAATCTGGTTACAAGGTAGGTGTACCTCCTCCTCCCCAAGCTAGGACTTGTTTGTTCAGTTTGTATGTGGGAAAAGTCTTTAAGTTGAAACATTAGTTATACCTAGTAGACAGAATGAAGCAGCTAAGCTCTTTGAATTAAGCACTTACTAAATCAGTTTTCCATGATGATAGTGGGTTTTAATTTTCAAACATGAGCACTTTAAAAATTTTAGATAAGGGGACAGAACAGTAGTCAGTCATCATTCCCTTTGTGATTATTAGGGGCAGAAAGGCAGGAAGAGGTGCAGATATCATCATCAGCATTTACTCAGAAACTACAGTGTGGGGGCCCTTTTGTTAGGTGCTGGAAATACAAAGGTTCAGCCCATGCCTTTCAACAAGTTTGTTGTTCTTTACTCAGGTGGAGAGAGAAAGTGTTTAGAACTTCTTGACTCTGATTTGCATTTCCGGTTTTTCTAAAAATGAAGTTTAATAAATATATCCTAATTACCATTTTAACAAATACCTTTGTGTGAGAAGGCAAACAACTAAGTCAAAATCTATTTTAATGTGTTTCAGTATATGTGTTTATATGTTAATATACCGAGTGTGTGTATGTTGTGAATAGGTATGTACAGCATGTATGAGTTGCACAGTGGCATCCAAATGAGTGCCACAGACAAAGAGTGCTATCTCTCAGGTAATTGTGAGACTGGAACAGTTGATGTAAAATGCTTAGCAGAGTGTCTGGCACAAGTCAATAATCTGCATTATTTACATAATGTTATACTACCACTACTATAAGAATTCATAGGAAAAAGAACTGTGGATTAATAAGATTGGGGAAGAAGGAAAGCATAATGTAATACATATTGCATCTATTTAACATTTCTTTTGCCTAAGACTTAAATTGCTAGGAGCAAACACTTTGGAGAGTATTATACGAGTATAATACAAGTATAATACATATTAATAATGTGGTCTCTTGTTTCAGGAACTTTATATTGCTGTGGGAATATCTGGAGCCATCCAACATTTAGCTGGGATGAAAGACAGCAAGGTAATTGCACATAATAATCACGCTAAGAGGAAAAGTTTTCACATTTTAAAATTTGGGTTTCGCTGTATGTTTCCATGTAGTCACAGTGTGTGTAGTTGAATCATTCACATTAACATAGTTCTGAGAACTGAAAGAAATATAAGCTGCTGTTCACTGCCGAAGATGTACTGTTGGTAGGAGAGGCAGTTCTGCGTCGTGGAAAGAGGCCTGTGAGTTGTAGCTCCACTGCTGTGACATGTCCTGTCTGCACCTCAGTTTCTTTGTCTGCCAAATGTGGGTGTTGGATGTTGGTTGCTAATGTCCCCTTCAGCTCTGACAATCTATGGGTAGAAAATATGAGGCTTAAATAACTTGATGAGGTTCTGACCATCTAACTAGTTTATGAGGTTCTGATCCCTGATTCTCACTCTGTCTGCTCTCTCTGGCTCCCCAGCAGTCTCATCTTCAAATGTCAGAGGAGTCCCCCTTCTCGGGTTGTTACCAAAGTATGATTGACACATTTCAGGTTGGAGCATCAGGCCATCTTCATCTTTATACCTTAATAATTGTCAAAAAAGCAGTGTGTAGAGGAAGCGGTTGATTTTAACTTGCTACTTGGACTGCATCTGGAAGTCCTGTGTAATGACTCTGTGAACATATATTTCAGAATATGACACATTAATTCATGCATAACAATGTACAGTTTGAATTATGAACTTATCTTTCACGAAGTCAGAGATGCCTCTGACATGCCTGCATTTATCCATTCAGATGGAAGCTTGATATAAAAGATAATAAAACTTTTAACAGGCTTAACTTCTAACTTGAAGAAATGCATATACTACCTCTTTGTAGCCCCTAAATGAATTGGCCCAAAACCAGTCACATTTCACAGTTGGATGGCAGATTTTTTTACTGAGCTATGAAAACAACAGTGCCAATGGGGAAAATGTGATTGCTGCATTAAAATAACAGCAAAAAACTACCTTAAAATATATTTTTAGCCAGGCCAGTTCAGACATATCTAGAATTCTGCTTCTCTAAAATAAAAGATTCTGCCTGCCAGGAAGATCTGGGTGAAAATTCTCATTCCATGCCAACAGAGCTAGATTGTGAGAGAGGCAGACTAGAAGAAAGTATACGCTAAAGCAAACAGGAACAGTTAAGAAGACCAGTGTTAGAGGACAATCCATGAGAATAAACTTCAGCTAAGACATTGTCTCTCATTCCAGTCAACAAATATTTATTAATATTTGTTTGTTTATTTGTTCAATAATACTTACTATCTCCAGTTGCAATTTTGGCTAAGTTCTGATGTGGGATATTAGAATGGTTTAAATCTGACAGTTACATTGCCTATATGCTGTAATTTTAATTAGCATCATGGTGTAGTTGAAAGAATGGGAGATTTGATTGTTACATTAAATGAAATCAGTGTAATAAAAGCACTTTTGAACTATATATATAATAATATGGTTGAATACAATCAGTGCATTTAAAAACTCTGTAAAGAAGAAGAGCTTGAACTTATAAGGAGCTATTAAGAGAGTTCTTAGGTGCAGTCAAGACTGTCGTAGTTATTTACAGTTGATAATTTAGGAATATTATTTTAGTAATCCAAAAAACTATAACCAGTGCACATTTTTTCCCTTAAATACCATAATTTCCTTGTGCATAGTTATCTGTTCTTTCTTTAAAAATAACTTTTATATAGTGGAACAAAAAAGCTTTCAGATGATTAAACTGTCAAATGCTTGACTAGGTGACCTCCAGGTGAATAATTAACTATCATTATTTAAATAATGCTTATAGCTGTGAAGCAGCTACACATTCCCAGAAGAGAAGCAACTCAATGCAGATCAACACCTGTGATTCAAAGTGTGTATCTCTATGATTTTGGATTTGAGGTTCATATTTGAAACTCGTTTATTATCTCTGACCATGTGTCTTAATATAGTGGCATGTTTCTCTGGCTTGGCAGTTACCTGGACTACACTGTGCTCCAGTCTCAGATATTATGGCATACCCTGCCCATCTCTTTGAGAAGCCTCTCTAAGGGAATTACACAAATGTTGTGTAGCCTATATTTTAAGTCAGACTACATAAAAATACTTAATATGCTTTTTAATACCAGCTGTTTTCACAAAATACAGTAACAGGCAGTTAGAAACTTGATTTTACTTTTAGAGATGTGAATTATAATCTACTGTCTCTTAAAATAATATCATGTTAGAGTCAAAACTCTAATTTTACTTTAATTGCAGTGGTGTTAGAAGCATCTATGGTGAATACTAAACTATTTGTAATATGTAAATAAATCTGATGCTAGTAAAATAATACTTTTGAGTGACTTTCTCCTTATTCTGTTAATAAACTGTCATAGCCTTTCACATTTAAGAATATTTTTATAGGAGATAAGAGAAATGTTTGGTAGTGTTTATAAGAGAGATAGTAATTTGCTTGTCTGGTTACATATTATTTGCTGCATATTTAAGGACTTAAAAATTTTTTTAAGTTCTCTTTTAATGTCAGGCTGAAAGGTGGTTCACTTATATATTCTCAGAACAGACCCAGGATAACAATTTTAAAATAACAAATAGAATGGAGGACAAAAGAGTTTGATCTGCAAAAGTTGTGAGTTGGGATATAGATTTGTTACTTTTTCATTGAAATCAAACATTTGTTTCATAAGTCAAAAAAGAACTTTAAAAAAAATAATGATTTTAAAGTCTTTTTAATACTTAGATGGGCTAGTGGTGGGTGGAAGATAATTTTATTACATTCCAACCCAGAAATTTCTAGTAAATTTACAATATTGGCCTAGATGCATCAAATTAATCTTATTCGGTAGACATTGTAAGAATATTAATATGTTGTAAGGGAAGTTAAAATAGAACCATCAATCTATGTGGTATGTTTTCTTGATAAAAGGCAAACTATTATTTTATTTCACAGACAATTGTGGCTATTAACAAAGACCCAGACGGTAGACATTGTAAGAATATTAATATGTTGTAAGGGAAGTTAAAATAGAACCATCAATCTATGTGGTATGTTTTCCTGATAAAAGGCAAACTATTATTTTATTTCACAGACAATTGTGGCTATTAACAAAGACCCAGAAGCTCCAATTTTCCAAGTGGCAGATTATGGAATAGTTGCAGATTTATTTAAGGTAAGCTGGCCTTGAGGGAAATTGCTAATATCTAGATCGTTATCCAAGAACCTCTTAGAAGGTTAGGGATGAAGCTATTAAAAGAAAACATTGTTTGTGTGCCTGTCTGTGTTTGTATCAGTGGTTGAAGTAACTCAAGTAATTATAGCTTAGAATCATATTTGCCAGGTGCCCTAAAGAAATTAACATCAAACCCCCTCATTCAGGAATTTTCCGAGGATGCTACAGCTTTTCAGGGGAAGAACAGGCACTCAAGTCCCGCTTATCTGATTCAACAAGAGAACTCTGCTCAGTGTGTTAAAGGTTAAAGGTCTTTCTAACACAGCAAGTGTAAGGAGAACACTTATTTTCACTCCTCACACTCTACACTTTTGAGTATTCTTTCTACCCTACCCACTACCTCTGTATTTGCCCTCTGCATGAGAAAAATTACTTTAGTGATATTGCAGAACACCTGATATTCATTCGGCCCCATTTAAAGGTTGTAACTCATGCAGGTCTGGACTCTTCTTGTCCCCTTGGGCCCACCCATAGGCTTCTAGGTTACCTTGTGCAGAAATCACTCATGCTTGAATTGATGCTCTGAAAGTAGCATCCAACCTTAGCTGGCTTTGCTGGAGTGAGGAATTCATCATACAGAACCATAGTGAGGGGCTGTGGGCCTCGGTAGAGAGGCTGCACCTGAGAACAGAGCCAGGGGTGGTCCGCCCAGCAAGAGGATGGGCCCATTAGCATGACTTCACCAGCCCTGTATATGATCTATATGAACTAATGAGTGCACTTAGAGAGCACGTTTATCCTCTGAATTATATGTTCATGCTCGTGAAAGATGGAAGAGGGACCCTTCCACTGCTCAGCGATTACGCAGTAATGGCTTTTACCACATGGGGCTGTTGCTCTGGCTCAGCATAGGGCATACTGCTCCTCAGGAAGCCTCCTAAAGAGCCTAGATCTTGATTTGGGGAGAATATGGCCACCTTTCAAGTGACCTTGAGGCCCTGTATCTGAAATTTGGGGTTCGGGTAGGTCAACCACTTCTGTTCCCTGGCCCAGCTGTGTAAGAACAAACAGCAATGCCAGTCATTTGGCCACTAAGATGTCCCAGTGGGAGGGGGAGCTTGTATGTCAAAGAGAAATTTTTTGTATCTCTGTACAACAATAACTTTGTTCAAGTAGCAAGTATTTAGTTCTTATTATTAGGTGTGGATAGAGGGGCAAACATTCTTTTTATTTAAAAGTGAAATGAAAACTTTCTGAATCCCAACCATGTTCATGTTTGCAAATAGACATCTACTATACATGCCTTTTATTTTTCCTCAAGAGACTATTTTAATAAATTTATAAGTAATTTTGTTTAAGGTATGTTTTTCTGTCTGCCTGTGTACTATGTAGTGCAACTCACGTGGAGGGCTCACATGATAAAAGAAAGAAAGAGGTGTTAAACAGTTAGAAATTTTTGGTGTTCCTCCAATGGACACCTGCATGAATGCAGTTATTTGGGATAGAAGTTATTTGCAGCAATTATTGATGGAATGGCACAGCTCCCAGGTTTGGCATGAGAGTGTGTGTGTGTCAACACAAAGAGGTATCTCACTGAGAGAGAGTCCTAAGACAGTGAAGAGGAAAGGTACCTAAAAAAAAATCATCCGGTCAGCTGATTGCCGGCAGGTTCTCAAGCTATTTCTGGTGTTTGAAGAAGCCCACTTTTGATTATAAAGAGACTGGACCCAAGACATCGTGTTTTTTGCTTTTAGCTAGAATTGTATTAAAGAGATGAGTGTCTTATGCTGCTCAGGAGTTCTGAAGTACAATTATGTATGTCTTTTATTAATATAAAGATAGAGAAGTTAATCAGTCTTTAAAAATACAGTTTGGGAAAAACTAGTTAAAGATTATGAAAATATTAAAAATATTTCTTTAGTTGCAGATTTGTTACTACATGAGTAACATAAGCCAGGTCCTTTCCTTTTAAGTTGTCTGTCCCAGAGAGATATGATCTGGGGAAATCACTTAGCAGGTTATCCGTACAACTAAGCCAGGTTCCTGCCTCTGTTCTCCCTCTCATCACGCTGCCTTTCCAGATCGTCAGGTACTACAGCCAGGCAGTTCACCACTGTACCTTGGATAAGTTGTAGCAAAAAGAACCACACCTTTGACATAGTCTAGGAACCTAGACAGTATCCATCAAATTGTTTTCTCAGCTGAAATCAGAATGAGCGTGTTGTAGATAAGTGTTACTGTAATTCTGACAGAAGAGCAGACAAGGTGGTCTGGTGAATACACTCCTCTCTAGGCCCACCCGTTTTTTAAAAATTAAATATTTAAAGATGCAACATTTAAGAATACAATTATATAAATTATGAATGAGAATTAATTAGTATTACCTAGTTTTGATTAAGATCTAAAAATATAAGTCAAATACTAGCTAGACAAGAAGGACTTTTTTTAGACTAAATTTCTGTGTAAGAATTTTAAATTGCAAACCGTATTATACATAACACATATATAGTTATTAGACTAATAATTCCTTAGGTAATATTTTGCTCACCAATTCAACCATGTCTAGAGGAAAAGTGTATATGCCTAACATTTTATTCTCTTATATTTATTGCTTCACTTCACACTTGAACAGTTATGAGTTAGAAAGGATAAATTTTTTCCCTTATATAACAGAAATAATGTGGTATAGTGATTTAGAGAATTAATTCAAATTTGTCTTGGCCACATACTTGTTAAATTATCTTGGCCAAGTTATTTAATCTCTCTGAACATCAGCTTACTCATAAGTAATATAAATATTACACTACCTACTTTAAAGTTTGTAGTGAAGATTGAATGAGATTATAGTGTACCTAGTACAGTCTGTGATAAATTAGCCTACCTGTTTGTACTTCCTTTGGCACAGTTACATAGTAGGTGCTCAATGTATGGTAAATATTATAATCAGAGTTAGAGTAACCAGGCATAGGGCATCACCTGACTGTTTTTTTTTTAAGTAAGTTTTACTGAGATGTATTTCACATACCTCAAAATTCAGTCTTTTAAAATGTACAATTTAGTAGATTTAATTATATTCACAGAGTTATGCAACCACTATCTAATTCCAGAACATTTTAATCACACTGAAAAAAAACCCCATACACATTAGCACTACCTCAAATTCTGTACATTTCCCCCAGCTCCTGGCAACCACTAATCTACTTTCTGACTCTGTGTATTTGCCAATCCTGGACATTTCATATGAATGGAATCGTGTAATATGTGGTCTTTTGTGGCTGGCTTCTTTCACTTAGCATAAGGTTTTCAGTGTTCCTCTGTGTTGTAGCATGTGTCAGTACTTTATTTCTTTTCCTTGCCAAATAATATCTATTGTACGGATATGCCACATTTTGTTTATCCTTCATCATTTGACGGACATTTCAATTGTTTCCACTTTTTGGCTATAATGAATAATGCTGCTGTGGACATTCATGCATAAGTTTTTGTGCAGACATATGTTTTCATTTCTTTAGGATATATGCCTAAGAATGGAATTGCTGGGTCAAATAATAACCTCATTTAATATTTTGAAGAACTGTCAGACAGTTTTCAGAGTGGCTGCACCATTCCCACCCACGATGTGTGAGGGCTCCAATTTCTTTTTTTTTTTTTTTTTTGTCTTTTGTCTTTTTTCCGTGTCCGGCAATGGATCGCAACCCTCAGTGTTGCCCCCGTACCGGACCGGGGACCGGCAACGGGATCGCAACCCTTGGTGCTGCTCCCGCGCCCCGCTCAGCCAGTGAGCGGGAACCGGTCCGTATGTGGGATCCGAACCCTCGGACGGGAGCGCCGCCACGCTTCCCAAGCGGCGCAGTATCCAGTCCGCCACTGTTTTGCTTCTTGAAGAACCTCCAAACTGCTTTCCTTAGAGGCTGCCCTATTTTGCATTCCCACCAGCCATGCATAGATGTTCCAGTTTTTCCGATGTGGAAAAACTGGAACATCTATGCATGGCTGGTGGGAATGCAAAATAGGGCAGCCTCTAAGGAAAGCAGATGTGGAAAAACTGGAACATCTATGCATGGCTGGTGGGAATGCAAAATAGGGCAGCCTCTAAGGAAAGCAGATGTGGAAAAACTGGAACATCTATGCATGGCTGGTGGGAATGCAAAATAGGGCAGCCTCTAAGGAAAGCAGATGTGGAAAAACTGGAACATCTATGCATGGCTGGTGGGAATGCAAAATAGGGCAGCCTCTAAGGAAAGCAGATGTGGAAAAACTGGAACATCTATGCATGGCTGGTGGGAATGCAAAATAGGGCAGCCTCTAAGGAAAGCAGATGTGGAAAAACTGGAACATCTATGCATGGCTGGTGGGAATGCAAAATAGGGCAGCCTCTAAGGAAAGCAATATATGATTTCCAAATATTTTCTCCCATTCTATAGGTTATCTTTCACTTTCTTGATAATTTTTTTTGATGCATAAAAGTTCTTAATTTTGATGAAGTGTAACATGTATTTTTTTCTTTTGTTGCTTGTGCTTTTGGTGTCATATCTAAGAATCCATTGCCAAATCCAAGATCATAAAGATTCACTCCTGTGTTTCCTTCTTAATGTTTTATGGTTTTAGCACATATATTTAGGTTGTTGATTTGAGTAAACTTTTTAATATGGCATGAGGTAGGGGTCCAACTTTATTCTGTTGTATGTGGATTCAGTTTGTTCTAGCACCATCTGTTGAAGGTACCATCCTGTCCCCATTGAGTGGACTTGGCATACCTACGTATCTTTTTAAGCCTTCTTTTTAATATGGCATGAGGTAGGGGTCCAACTTTATTCTGTTGTATGTGGATTCAATTTGTTCTAGCACCATCTGCTGAAGGTACCATCCTGTCCCCATTGAGTGGACTTGGCATACCTACGTATCTTTTTAAGCCTTCTCTCACTCTTCTCCCCAGCAAAGTTATTCATGTCATTGTAATCTCTTTATCATCTCTGGAACCTGCAGTGTTTTTATCTCTGTCTGCCTCCTCATTTTTTTTTCCCCAGAATCCTTTTCTTCTCTGGGTTGGTGTTCTGAATTTTCCTAATCCACACTGATATTTTCTTCATCAGAACTCCTGAATTTGGAGCATTTAATGCTATTCTTATTATCTCCCTACATTCCAGTATAAAATGAGCCCATTTCTGATTGAGTAGTTCATAGGCTTCTGTCTGTTCTCCACAACTAGGAGGCAGAACTCCTTGTGGGCAGTAATCAGGCCTGAACTTCTCTGTCATTCTCAAAGTGATGGAGACCTTGTCTATCTCCCTTGGTACTGCCCAGAGGAAGTACTAAGTAAATGAGTGAAACATAGTTGTATTGTGATTTACATCAGTAGATTGTCTTTTTTAAAAAACTTAAGTTCCCTCCTATTTGGTCTTACTGAGTAGGGAGTTGCCTTTGCAATATCTTAAAGAGAATAGAAACAAGAATCCAAATCTTTCCATATTCTCAGGCCATCAGACACTCAGTGAACCTGAGTTAGCATTTTCTTTTCCCTAAATAAAGCATTGTGTGGTATGCTTGGATAGTCTGAGGTTGATCTAATAAAAAAGATACAAATGATGGAGAGAGAAAGTCCCCTCAACCCTTTTATGGGGAGTGGGGTGGGTGGGGCATTCTGTAAAGTTTTAAAAAATTGCATATTCTAAACCAAATTAACATTTCACTTCCTGGGGAAAGAAGTTGGGCTCTAGCCTATTTTTCATGAAACACACAGGTCCCATGTGAGGCTCAGTTAGCATGTCATCCATGCGACTCTCCACCATGAGCTCATGGTCTCTCCACTGAGGAAAGCTGGGGGAAGTGGTGCCAGCACTTAATGCCACCCCTGAGTGAATGCCTGCTGGCTCCGTGGTAAACATGGACCTTTTAATAGGCTGGAGACAAAGTGACATTCGGAAGAAACAACATGTCGACAATTTCCTTAATAAATTTTGTACGAACACATTATTTCCACCTAATGGAAATGTAGCTCTCTTAAATAATTGAGAGGCTGTATTCATCGGTGGCGAGTTCAGCTGGGATCTTTGTGAGCTAGGGCAGCCGACAGCCCCTTGGAAGACTGGGTAATTGATATTTCACACAAGTGGCTGGGCTAGTTTTCAGAATGTCTGTGTGACATTCCCCTGCAGTCCCCATGTGTAGCTCTCCTCTGTTGTTCGGAAAGTCACAAAGCAGCTCCACACTGAAGTCTCCAGTTGCAGCCACTGAACTGCCAAGACTGAGGGTTAGTAATTAATCCTTTTTAAATGGGAGCCAAGTCAGTCAGTTTCCCTTGCTGTGGTTTCTTACTGTGTGTGCTGACCAGCCACTGCATTAGCACAAGGTCTTAATTTTAATACAGAGCAATGATATTAAATGTTCAGTATGCAGTTCATTTTCATGTGCCGACTGATAGTAACATGTGCTGAGAAAGCAACCGAAATGTTTGTGGGATGAATGATGAGTGAATGAATGAACAACAAGAGAACGAGTACTAGTCCAGGCTGACAGGAGTCATGACTGAGCTAGAGACTTTGGTGTGAACTTTGAAGGAAAGTCAGGAATGCATTAAGGGTAGAAAGAATGCTGGGGAAAGCATGAAGGTAAAAAGTAGGGCTACTCCCATCCTAGACAAGAAAAATTGGACTTCCTATTATTTTTGTTGTGTTCTTGAAGTTTGTGATTGTGTCAAAAAGGCTCCTGGATGGTGAGTGGACTCTTGGCCCTGCCAGCCCTGTGTCCAGGGTGGTCTCTCCCTCAGAGGGTTTTCTAGTCTCCCTCTACAAACCCTCTGGGTGGGAGGAGAGACTACAGGAAAGCAAGGAGTGCCTGGATGGGGAGAGGGGCACTGTGCCTCGACAGTGATGTGCATCGTTTCTTTTGACCTCCGTGTACTGCTTAAGGAGCTGTGACCGTATCACAGCGAAGGCTCAGGTTGCTTAATTACTTCCTTTTTAACATTTGCAGGTAGTTCCTGAAATGACTGAGCTGTTGAAGAAAAAGTGAATCATGATCATATTTTAAGAAGGAAAACTATGTCAAAGTATTCAGCAGAAATCGTAGAAGTCCATGGGTATAACATCGCTGGAAATCATGGAGAGCTACATTTTGTAATTTGAGTGAAAAATTGTAACAGATGTGAGAATGCTTTTTTATGAGACTGTTATTATGTTTCTTTTTAATTATTTGTGATTCCAAACAATTTTTTTTGAAATTTTCTAATTCTGTAATAAAATCTATAATAAAGCCTTTCCACAGCTTTAAAACTACTATCAGAAATATGCCTAGATTTGTAAAGAAAATTATTATGTTTCTTTTTAATTATTTGTGATTCCAAACACTTTTTTTTGAAATTTTCTAATTCTGTAATAAAATCTGTAATAAAGCCTTTCCACAGCTTTAAAACTACTATCAGAAATATGCCTAGATTTGTAAAGAAAGAGAGAAAATTGAAGAAAGGGAGTAAGAATTCATTTAATGTTTTTTCTTTGCCTGTTTTGTTCATGGAGGGCTCTGTGTTTTCGGTAAGATTGTAGATGTGAATCTTCTCACCACCAGGCTAATGAACCTCATCTAATAGTTGAAGGGCATATCGCATAGATACGGGAACTAAACTGGCAAATTCAGAGTTAAAAAAGCATGGCCATAAAGCATGAATATTATCTTAAACATACTCCAGTCTTCAGACAACCTCATCTAATAGTTGAAGGGCATATCGCATAGATACGGGAACTAAACTGGCAAATTTAGAGTTAAAAAAGCATGGCCATAAAGCATGAATATTATCTTAAACATACTCCAGTCTTCAGAAAACCATAGCTAACGTGACAAAAGTAGACCTGACCTGAACCTGACCCTGCTGGATGTATTTAGTTGGCTTTAGTTAAACTTGATTTTCCGTTTCATTTTAAGGTTTTTGTCAGTTTATAAGACTGTGTCTGCCGACGAGGGGGTGTGGGGAAGGAGGGGCTGCTTTGAGGCAGTGTGGCCTCTTATGTGAATGGATAGTTTGATATTGTTCTAAATGTTTCCAATCCTGCTCAGAGAGTTCTCTGGCCTTTCTTTTGCCCTCCTGATGCCCTCCTTTGAGCTTTCTCAGAGAGTCGGCCTCACGCGTGGTGACCTCTGGCACTCTCACTCTGCTGCCATAGGGCACAGCTGAGGTCCAGAATGTCACCAGGGGCTGAAAGCTGGTGTGGGTACAGACCCAAGAAAAGAGGCTGGCCAGGGCTTGGCAGGAAGGCAAGGTAGGTAATCCAGGGTCGTGGAAAGGCCAGGAGTCAGCCGGCACGTAGAATGAACAGAACTGCCCTCCTGAAGCAGGTCTGCAGAAGTTGGGGTAGTGACTTGGGTCAAGCAGATGGCAGGGAAAAGATAGGAGGTGACCAGTGATGAATGAAGGGAAGGGCAGAAGGGCCAGCTTGGGGCCCTTCTGATTTGTGTCACAATCATTCTTGCTATGAAAGAAACACTTTTAGAAGTTCTGTCTCTGGCACTTCAACCTTTTGGCAAGGTGAGAGGAGAGCAGTAAAACGATGCCCTTTGCAAGTAATATCTGTGTTGGAATCATAGATCCTAGAATGTCAGAGCTGAGTGATCATCTGGTTCAGCCCCCTTCTTGTGCAGGTAGGGTGCGGAGGCACGGAGAAGTGAGGAAGGTAAAGTGACGTGCCAAAGGCCACATGGCTTGAATCACCCTCGTGAAAGTAATTCCTGTATCATTGTTGCTGTCTTAGAGGCTCTTCTCAAGACGGATAACCTTGCTCAGGGCCTTCTCCATTTACCCTTCATCCCTATTGGATGCTATAATTGGGGGGCAGGAGAGATGGCAAAGGCGATAGCTGCAGAGGCACCCCCAGCAGAGGGCATGCGGGCTCAGGAGGAGCGTCCCAGGTGGTGCCTTTGCATGGATCCTTGCCTCAGTCGAACTGACTGGTCTTTCTCCCTTTTCCTCCCTCCTGTCATGGCTGCCCTGTCCTGGCTCCAAGTAGCTGTTCAGTTAGCCAATATTCATTGGGTACAAATCATCATCATCATCATCATAGCATTAACTGTAGTGCTTACTATATACCAGGCTCTGTTCTAGCACTTTACTCTATTAAATCCCTTCAGTACTCACAACACCCTGCAAGTTAGATGCTATTATTATCCCTGTTTTACAGATGAGGAAGCTGAGGCTTAAAGAGTTTATATAATTTGCCCAAATTCAGACAGCTTATAAAGGAGAGCCGGGATTTGAAACTGGGCAGTCAGGCTCCAGAGTGGTGACTTCACTAGGATGTGATTCTCCCACACCTTGGCTCAAGGGACAGGGAGACTCGCTGCACATAACCTCAGGTAAAGAGCACTAATGCTTTGTGCTGGGCGGGCGGGGCACATTTAGCACTCTGGTGAGAAGGAGAGATGGGGTTCTGGGATAGTCTCTCCGGCAGGATTTTATTCAACTCAGAAGTCCCTCTGATTGCTCACTGAGAGTTTACCTTAAAAAGTCAGTTGTGTGAGGTGGGGGAAAATTATTGAAACTATTATATATGCCACAAGGTGCGATTTAATATGCCCTTTTTATCTCTGTTTTATTAAACCACACTGTCAGTTCCTATAGACTCTGCCCCTGCCTTTGGCCTTAGGACCCTTTGCAGTAGCTCTGGAAGCAATGTGGGGGAAAAGAGTTAGGAATAGCTTTATTAACATGCATGTGTATGTTTCCTGCCTGTCTCCTAGTCTTTTGAGGTCTTTGGTCAACCTCACACAGCCTCTAGGAATTTGGTAGCCTGGCTACTTTGGCAAAACATAGAGCCCCTGAGAGGGCAGAAACAAGAATGCAGAAAAGCAGCCCTATGAGGGCAGAGCTGTTGGGGCCATCTGGAACTAGCAGACAATTTCTTCACTTGCAGATGGCCTGAGGCTCAGTGAGGGCGCTTGTCCTGGGTTTCAGTACTGGAGAGGGGACAGAATCGAGCTTTTCCCCAGGTCCCACATTCTGACAGCAGTACTGTTCCCTGCTGGCTTCTCTGTCTCACCAGTTGTGCTGTGTGGGACTGTGGAGCAAACACCTAGAATCTGGTTCAGCCTCTCCCCTGAAGTAGCCTGTGATCTTAACTGGGGGAACAGTGTCCCACCAGGCTCTGGGATTACAAGCTGTGGAGGTGCAGCCCCTGCCCTCAAGAGTTTTGCAGCTCCCAGGAGAGATGAGGTGAGATAGTAGTAAAAGCAGAGAACAGGTACTCAGCATGGACAGCACACGCAGACCCTCAGTGGGCCGGTCATGGCCACTCCTTGGGGGGTGGGGGCAGCACTAGAAACTGAGCTCAGAGCTCACATGGATGCTTGAGGGTCAGGGAGGGGGTTGAGAGTGGTACGTAGTTGAGACCAGATTGTAGAGGACATTGATTGACAGTCTGAGAAGGCCTTTATCCTCATAGGTCAGTAGTTCTCAAACTTTGCCCTTAAGGAACACTGCCATTTAAAGAAATTTCCAAATCTTAAGTCGTTCTTGCATACTTTTTTCTAAAACTTTGGTGGCTGCTACCCCTTGTCTCCTTGGGAATATGAACAGATTCCAAAGTGAATGGACAAAAGAGGGCAGCAGCCACTGACCCTCCACAGTTTTTGTCTTGTGAACATATGGGGTGATTTTGTTGAATACTTAAAAATAGTTTCTGCTAGTTGGTAACTGTTCCTTGTTTGTATGTTAGAATTAAATGTCAGTATATCAAGAGTGTTCTACAAGAGCTGCATGACTTCCTGAGGCCCTGCCACCTGAACAAGTCTGGTAAGAAGCACCTCCTGGCAACAGGGGGCCATTGGCAGTTTTTGAGGAAGGCCCAAAACCTAACCCGGAGGAATAACATAGCCTGGTGGTGTATTCAGCACAGATGGAGGAAGGAGGAGAAGATGGAAGCTGTTGCAGGAATCCTCTGGCCTTATGCCCTGGATGGGTTTGGCTGAAAGCTCTTTGGCTACAGAATGGGCCCCCAGAGATTATGGAAATGGGTCCAGTGCAAGTGGGTGAGGCTGGCAGAGAGCGAGGCTCTTCCTCTCAGGACAGCGGCGGAGCCAGGCTGCCGCCAGAGCCTGGGCGTGTCTGTGCTGGGTTGGAGGGCTGGGAACCCTAGCCATAAGTGCACTTTCTGCTCTTTCTGAAAGGGGTGGTCAGCTTCGTTACATTTCACTCTCTGTCTCACTAGGGGGTTTTGTTTTGGTCTACATAGAAATGGGCTGAGGAGTCTCGAAACCAGAGAATACCACCGACTGTAACAGACAGATTTGTTTAGCTGTTGCTGATTGACTGAAAAGCTTGTAAAAAGCCCCTACAGAGTGATATATTGCCCCAATTTCACATAGCCCTAGGTTTTTAAAATCTTTGTAGGGAGCCCAAATGAAGAAGAGTTGTGATAATCTTTGGCTTATAAAGCACTTCATTATCCCATCAGTGGGGAAAAAGAGTAGGAAACATTCAAGAAATCAGACTCTCAGGAGAGGAGGTGATTTGCCCCGCGTCACAAAGCAAGTGGTAGAACTGGAACACTGGAGTTTCTATTAAATACTATCTATTAAGAACTTCCTATGTGTCAGGTACAATTGTCTAATACAATGATCTCCAAAGTGGGTATCAGGTGGGTATCATTACCCCTACTTTCCGGATGAAGAAGGAAGCTGAGGGGCAAATGACCAGAGTGGCAGTTGGTGAGATGTGGACCCCGAACTGCACGCCCGATCTGCAGAGCTTGGGCAGCCTCCCATCATCTTCCAGCTTCTCCAGGACTCCATCCTCAAAACAGCACGCTTGTCGTTAGAAGCAAGGAACAGTGGTGGAATTCGGGATTTACTGCAAAGTAAGCTGGCATCTACTTTCTGTGGCATTGGAGTGATGAGACGGAGGCCCTGGCAAGGATTCACCTGTCTGGGCTTTGGCTTCTTCACCTGCCACAGCCGGTCATGTGGCTAAAGGCAGGTGACTGCTGCCTGATGGTGTGCTCCCCTCTAGCTTGTGCTCCCTTCCTGGTGTAGGGCTACCTGTGGGTCTGGGACCAGTAGGTGGGCTGGCACCAGGACACTTGGGTTCTCAACCTGCTCCTATTACTGCCTGAGAGGGACCCTGGTCACCTTTCTCTTTTAGGTTTCATTTTCATCTGTAAAATGGCAACTTGAACAAGGTAATCTTTTGATTATCTTCAAGCTTTTTAACCTGTGAATATGTTGGCAGACCTCTTACAGGATAGATAGATGGAGACAACAGTAACCATTTTTGAGGCTTTTTATGCCCGAGA